CAAAATTGTGGTTACCGTAGTGTGAAACTCTCCTTTGGACAAGCAAGTAGACTTACCCATCCAGGAACTCCTTCGCCTGGGCTTAGGGACAGTTCTCCATTCTTTTACGGCAATCCAGTTTTCCGCAGAAAGTCCTTCAAATTCATCCCAGTAGTGAGTTCAATCCACAGTTCCTCTACTGCCTGTGAAAGTTGGATGTGTGGCGCATACCAAAAGGTTACGACAGGTCAACCGCTTTATCACTTGTCCTTAACCTCCTTTTTCTGAACTTTTGTCAGTAAAAATGTTCCTTTTCAGCTGACGGACGTTTCGTCAACCTCGCCAGCACCGACGTCTCCATCGTCTTTGCTCTCGTCGTACCTCAATTCCACGATGTCGTCAGAAAGTAGCCCACCTCCTCCTGAATCCTCTCCGGATGATAAGAAAGACAAGGAAATCAAGAACGAAACTTCGGTGAGCTTTAACCGGGGGGCTTCTTGTTTGGTGGAGACCACCCACGACGTGAAATCTGGAAATGCTTCATCTTCCCATTCTGGAACTTCACCCTCAGGAACTTGAGCTGTTCCTTCACTTGACCGCTTTCAGCGTTGCAAGTCGGGGAACAGTGACCCAGAGAGATTTTCGGATTCCTGGAGTGAAGAGAATGGGGAAGATCTGGAGTTGATCTGCCTGTTGGACTAAATTTCGTAGACCATTACTATCACCTACTATACTTCACTACTATTAGAATCTTAAACACGCAGCAATCGGTGGCGGACTTAGTTGGGAACCTGGCCACCAGTGCTAGCCATTTTCCTGAGTGGGCATCCTGACCCAGGTGGGAATCGTGTGAACCACTGGTGGCGACCTCTAGATCGTCGCGAATAGGATAATATTGCTGGCTTTTTATGAGACTGAACCCGGTTTTTTCAGAGCGAGGCTGGAGACGGTGAGCTGGAGGTGATGGTTGGTAACGAGATGATCAGCGATGCCAAGACGTCACCTCAGGACTGGCGCCCATTGCGATCGAGATCGTTCCTCACTGATGCGCAGGTATGTTACTTACCACTCCTTTGGGAGATCTCCCATACAAAACTTCCTCCATTTCAGGTGGCGATCCTGAATACGCACTTCAAGCGAAATCCATTCCCTTCTAAGTATGAACTGTCAGCAGTTGCTGAGCAAATTGGAGTGAATAAACGCGTTGTGCAGGTGGGAAAAGCTTCTGTAATTTCTTTTATCAGCTGATTCACACGTCTACCGTACCAGCGGCCGTCTGATCGGTTTCAAATTTCTTCTCACTACTGCCGCCTTCTCGTCATTGTTTTGAAATTTCAAAGGAAAAAGCAGCAATTGAGTTGGCAAAGGGCAACCGATGTGTCACTCGAATTACCCATGCTTCCCTGCGCCACAACCACTGTGTGAAGCCGTCTCCTGTACTTTCGCGGACCATTGTGGGCGCCTCCTCTGTTTCCCTGATCAGGGTAGGTACAGAAAGGGGACAAAAACGTTCAGCTAGCGCACCTGCGTCCGGGCTTTTTTGGACGTTTTTGTGTGTTGACTGGCCAAATGTTTTGGGCCTGATGACGGCAGGGCGGCAGCGATGGTAGTGCAGCATGGCAGAAAAGAACTCCCAGAATTTCGATGTGTTGCACTTTCAGGTGTGGTTCCAGAACACTCGAGCCAAAGAGCGACGAGGCAATCGGTTACCACCTCTTGGTCGAATGCCTTGGCCAGTGCCGCCGGCCACTACGTCACTTCCACATCAAAATGCCGCCCAAATCATGACCGCATGGGCTCAGCAATACTCAACTTTCGCTTCTCAGGTTCGTGCCTCATTTTCCCTTGCTTCCATGTGTCCGTCCATGTCCGTCTGATACCTTTATTTACATAAAACTGGGGCTCAGGTGGTATTTGGGGCCTACTAATTTGGGTCTCATCCTATTACCTCGCCATTCGAAGCCGCCAGATGTGGGTATTCTTGAGTAATTGTGTGACCCTCACTGACCCTCCTCCTCCTCCTCCTCATTCGCACGCGGTAGTTTAAGTGGGGAAATTGAGTTGGTGCCGTTAATTGTCCTCGTGCCTAATTAACAGGTATAGTCATAAATTCAACAGACAGACGAGCTGTCGTGATGATGATGATTTCTGGCCTGATCATCATCAGGTCACAGAAGCAGCTCATTATCGGGCGTAGTCATTTCATTCGATAGTCCTGGGAGCGGTTGAATGGGAACAGGATGTTTCTATGATGGTTTGATGTGTTATCGGAGTGAAATCAATGACTTTTCCAGGCGGATCAGCAATCAGCCGATGAGTCAGCGAATCAGAAGGAAGAGGAAAACGTCGTCGACGATGACAAATCGAACACGCCACTTGACCTTACGGTAAAGGACGAGGTCGACCATGACTGGAGCCCTGAGAAGCTCATCGGTACGTGCTTCACATGCTGCCGCCGCCGCGCGACTTTCTGATTCACCGTAGTTGTTTTGGGAATCTGAGGAAATTTCAAGAAAAAGTCGATTAGACTCTTCAAATTCCGAAATTTAGGTCTAGTCGATCGTAGTGCTGCCAACCTTCAACAATTGCTCAAGCAAACGACCTCGACCGATACGAGTCCGGCATCTGAGGCGCCGGAATCCGAGGTGACGTCGTCAATATGGCCCACGGCAAACATGTTCCTCAACCAGTACAACATCCTGAACGTCAGCAACTTGGCTGGACTTCAGAATGTTTTTGAGGTGAGGTTCCTTCAGGTGTAGGCGGTCGTGCCATTGGTATTCAACTGAAGCCGTTTTAGAACCAAACCGATGCCGACGAGACAATGAGCCTGAGCTCGACTGACTCAAAAAGGAACAACTTCCGGATAAACAAGGTACTTTCTGATGGTCCCTTTTGATAGGCTCTACTAAGTGGTTGTCATTTTTCAGCTGGTGGAAGAAGAAGGCCTATTTGCCTGTGACCAGTGCGACAAGATGTTCGGCAAACAGAGCTCGTTGGCAAGGCACAAGTACGAACATTCAGGTAATGTGTGAATCTTTGCCGGGACCATATTGTTCGTCGTGGGACACGAGCGCGCGTTTGTTTGTATTGTTTGCCGGGTGGTTACGTAGCGCAGATAATCGCGGATAATTAGAATACGGTGTCAGATGGTGTGGTACTCCCTTCAGGCTCGCCTCCCTCTATTCCCCGGTGCTCATCTCTCTCTCCCTTCCCTCAATTACCGATTGTATTACCACAAACGCGCGCTTCTTACACCATATCCGATTAGGATTGCAAGGGTTTTGTGCCTTAAAGTGCAATATGATATAGCACGGAAATGATGCCACGTATGGGAACGACAAGATGGTCTTCACAATAAGACTCAGACTAGAGAAACGGTAGTAATGGGCTTTGGGGAATACCCAGTACTGCTTTTATAGGAGCTTATAATCCAGTCAGGCATCCAGTAGAGCGAATTTTGAGGTAATTCGGCTCGGAGGCACCAGGTACCTTTCTAAGCTTGTACAGGCCACACTGTGAACACCTGTAAGCTCCTGTGACCGGGGTGGCACTTTCCAAAAATGTCGCAGCTTCACAGGAGTTCACAATTTTGACGGAACTGAGATCTGTTATTTCACATGAACTAATAAAAAAGGAACTTGCAAAAGTGCCAAATGCCCGCTCCAAGCCGAAGAGTGCCCAAATTTTTGTGATCATAGGTAGGGATTTTTCTGAACCTGCATGAAAATTCGGAAGGCTCCGGGTGGAGGAGGGGCTTCATTAATGTCAACGGAGTAATGTCTATGGGGCCATAAGGATTCCAGGAAAATCAACCTGTACAAGAGGGCGGCTGAAGCCTTCTAAGAAGGACACATCGTCTTTGATGAATGGGTCAACTTGCCTCCCAAACAGGACACACCTTACACCTTCTCGAGGAACTCTCTACATTGGGGTGTAGTATCCAAGCGACGCTTGAGGGAGTGGCGAGAGGGTCGTGCTGAAATAATAATTTCCCTCTTCGTCATAATGCTCTAGCAGTCGATCAATCA